GTTCCAAGGAGTTTTCCACTCCCCCCCCAAGGAAACCTTTTTTTTTTTTTTTTTTTTCTTTCAGACACCCTCATGAACTGTGGGGTTTTTTGGTTTTGTCTTTTGATCCTGTAGCCATGGGGTGTCCCTTGTACCCTTTGCTGAGCTTTCCGTGCCAGCTGCACCTCCATCCTCATTTATCCGTGTCCCCTCCATGTGCATCCAGGCTCAGCACTGCCATAGCAAAACCTTCTCCTGTCCTCCATGGCTCCTTGGTTGGCTGCCTGTGTTCGCTCCACCCTCCTGCCCGTTCCCTGGCGCTGTCACCCCTGCCAGCACACTCCAGTCTTGTTCCTGATTCCATCCCTCCCTGCCATCCCTCCCTCTCCCTCCAAGTGCCAGCAGAGACATCCTCTCCTGGTCCCAGGGACATATGCAGGAAGATGGAGCAGAGAGGTGGAGGCAGGTGGTTGCATTTGCACCAGTAACTGAGACAGGTTCTCTGCAGCACAATAGTCTCCACCTTGCTGGAGAGGGTGGCCTGTTGCACCTGGTGTGTGTTCCCTCCAACAGCATCCGTGGGCTGCTGGGCACTGTGTAGCTTGACTGGGCTGAACCACGCTTGGGTGCAGGCCAAAAATTAAGCTGTGGATGGTGGTGGCTCCTTAAGCCCTTGTCCTTGTCTGGTATGATGCCAGCTGGGATGGGACTGTCCAGCTGCCAGGCAGGGGCTGTCTGAGGTGTGCGGAGGGATCCCTCTTCCCTGACCATTCTCCTTTGCCCATCCCAACCCCATCAATATGGAGCTCTGAAAGAAATGGAACCCTCACAGAGTGGCTGCATTTCTGGAAGGCCCCCGCGGGTGCATGGCTGTAGGGGACACGGGTCTGGAGTGCAGTATCCTGCTGTTCCTCCTGCAGCCTGTGGAGGGACGGGTGATGCTTGCATGCCCCGCACCCTCTTTAGAAAGTCTCACTGGTGCCCAGGGGTGGCAATGGCCAAACCTTGGTTTTGTACAGCAAGAAGGGGGGAATTCCCTGCAAGGATGGAAATGCCAGGCTCTGGGGCCCAGGCAGCTGCGAGACAGAGCCTGGGGAGGCTTTGCCATGTGGGGAGGGAGGCAGGTGCTGTTTCAGCTGTCCAGAGAGGTGCTACTGAACTCAGAACCCCAGCACCCATCTCTGCAGAGCCCTAGCCAAGCTGCAGTGCCTGCAGACTGCAGTGTCTGGCCTGGCACAGTTGCAGCTGGGCTGCTGGCAGCGTTTTTGGTGCCCCCAGGCAAGCCAAGGTCTTTGCCCACCTGGCCTCGAAGTGCATGTGCTTCAGATGCTCAGCTGCATCCCTGTGGGTGCCCCCATCCTCTGGGCTTTTACCCGACCCGATAGTGGCAAGCAAGACTCTGGGGACAGTGCAGCATCCCTGGAGGTGCAGGGGGCTGAGCCCTGCTCCCTGCAGCCTGCAGAGCACTGAGGCCCACGGGCTTCGGGGTGCTGTGGGCTGACGGGGAGTGAGGGCTGTCCCCGGCACACTCAAGGAGGAGCAGGGAGGCAAGTTGGGATCTGCAGGGAGACGTTCGGTGCCTGGCGGTGGGCCAGACCCTGGCAGGTTCACCTGCAGTTTAATTAGGGAGAGGGGAGGGAGCGGGGCTGGGGGAGAGGTGGCGTGTCGGGACTGGCCGTCTCCACGGGCCTCGCAGGAGGTGGTGGGGGAAGCTCTCCTCTGTCTCACCAGCCAGTGGGGCTGGGGTGACACGCTGCCAGCATTGTGGCAGCGGGGTGCTGCCCATGGAGGCTGAGCATCACTGGGGTACCCTGAGGTGCTCCTGAACAAGGCTGTCCTGCCAGCTTCCTCAATGCCACCCAGCTGGTGTGGTGCTGTGGGTGTGATGGTGAGCCATGAGATGATGGCCATGAGTCCAGCTGCCCTACCCCAGCACACTATGGAGCCCTCAGCCTGAGCCAGGTCTGTTGCCTTCATCCTGCATTCATATGAGAGATGGAGAAACTGCAGCATCCGTGGCAGAGCCAGTGCCAGCTGGGGCTTGGGGTCCTGTTGAATGATGATCCTTTTCCTGAGTGCACCTTGACAGGGAAAATTTTCCTCAGTTAAAAAAGCTGCTTTGGTATCTGACCTGAGGCCAAGATTTCACATCCATTCTCCATGCCCAGCACAGTACTTCAAGTACACGGCAGGCTGGATGCTGGCGGTGGTGTCCTCCATTCCCTCTTCCTTGCAGGATGCAATACTTCCCCTCATACCTCCCACAGCTACAACCTCTTCTGCGATCTCTGGAGGGATCTGGTGACTCAGACACCACCACTGAGGTCTTAGGGGGCTGGGGCAGCTGGAGAACCTCCCTCTGAAAGGGCTGGCTGCTGCATGCTGCGCTCGGCTGCGGTTCCTGGAAGCTCCCACCCTTGCCGAGCCCATGAGGCTGGTGGTTGTCGCCTCCAGCCACGTTGCTTGCTGCTCTGCTGCAATCCTCTGGGCTCTGGTGTTGCTGGGGTAGAGTAAGGAATGTAAACTGAACCTCCAAGCAGAACCTCACTGGCATGGCTGCTACGGTCCCAGCTCTGCCCTGTCCCCTCCTCCCCATTGCTCATAGTTTCCCAGGAGAGGAGAATGCAGGGAGGAGCAGCAGGGCAGGCAGAGCGATACCGAGTAGGAAAATGACCACAGTGAGAAGGGGACAAGACTCCCAGAGCACTGGGACGTCAAGTCCTGGGAGCTAGCCCATTGCCTGCCTGCAGCCTGGGGGATGAGAGCTCCAGGGACAAGGACTTGTGTCTCATCCATCAGCTTGTGTGTGGCTGGAGAGCAGCAGAGGAATGAGGAGAGCTGGGGCCTGACCCCAGGGGTTTCCCAGCCTTGGAGGGCACCAAACGAACCTGGCCTCTTTGCTTGTAAGGAGACTGGCTTCCTAGACAAATTGGGTGGGGTAGAGTTTCTGTCTGGGCTCCAGAAGGGATCTTAAGGAGATGCCACATGGGAAATTACTTGTTAGGCTGGAGAAATGTGTGAGAAAGAGGCTAACGGAAAGGCAGGGCCAAGAGGAGGGTGTCAAGGCAGGTGGAGGGTTTGCTGCCACCATCCCTGGGTACTGGCTGTGCAAGGTGCCGGGGATGCCAAGCGAGGTGGCAGCGCCAAGTCCCTGCTCCTGGGCTGTGCCTGAGTTTGTCTCATGAAGGGCTGGAGATGGTCCAGATTTTGGGGATGAAGAACTGATACAAGGAGGATTTGGGGATCCTGGAGAGCTTCCTGTGCTGCTTCTCCATCCTGCATCACTCACCTGGGGGCTGAAGTTCCCCAGACTGAGGCTGCCCTGCTCTAGCAGCAATGTGGGTGTGTTGCAGCGCTGCCTGCCAGCGCGCTCCCCGGGGAGCTGCGCGGCGTACGCACCAGCAGCCCCATTACCTGCCTGCTGAAAAATGTTGTTCAACTTGTGCATGGAAAGAGAGGCAGGCTGAGAGCAAGCTTGTCCCACACCGAGGGGAAGCTGGGAGAGGCTCCCGCTGGCTTTTAAGCAGCGCCTTGTTAATTTTTTAAATGCACCAGGGTCAAATTAACACACAAAAGAGCAGCATGACTTTAAACGCAGGTTTCCGAGCCGCGTTTCATTTCCCTTTAATAAGATCATAGCGTTTGCTCAGCGGGCGGCACGAACCACCAAGGAGACGTGTGATGGGGAACTTCGCCCAGGACGGGCGGCGGCGGCAGGGAGCAGCTGTGCCCTCACCTCTTGTGACTCCACGGAGCAGGGAGCTGGTGGATCCATGCCTGGGATCTGTGCTTTGTCACTCAAGCCCCCCATTTGATGACATATATCTGCTGGAGAAAACACCCCAAATCCTCTCATCTGTTCAGCTGTAGCAAAGCCAGGACTGATCAAGCTGTTCTTCTCCAAAGGAGAGAGGGAGGCTGGAGAACTCCAGCTATTTATTTATTCACGTGTGAAGCCACGGCACAAAATCTGGCTCTCCCTCCCCTCCTCATGTTGGAGCCGGTCACTGAGCACTGAAGCAAAGGTTATTGCTGGCTCCCTGCTTGGCCAGGGAACCACAAATAAAAACATTACTTTGCGTTTTACATAGAATTTCCCAGGTAAGGGAGACTCCTCACCCAGCTGCAGCAAAGCCAAAGCCGCCCTTGGGCAGCCCCAGCTTGCAGCCCCAGGGAGCCCCCACCACAGGACCTGTCCTTGTCCCTGTCCACCCCATCCCCGCTTGGTGACGTCCTTGCTTCCCAGCGTTTAATGACAACCAGCTGCTGGCCCTGGCCCTGCGGTGTGGTCACGGCATTTTCTAACTAACTAGGGATGCTTGATTTTTCCAGCACAGCATCACATTTAGAGCTTCTTGTGGGAGCTGGTGGGGGTCACGGAGAGAAGGAGCGGAGGGATAGGGCTGGACAGGCAGTGCTACCTGCTCCTGTTAGTACCTGATAGTGCACTCTGAGCAAGCAGAAGTGGCCCATTCCTCAGCAGAAGTATTCCTCAGCTGGTGTTATATTTAATAGAAACTCTGAGTGGAGGGGGGGAGGAGATACTGCCTTTGCCATGCTGAGATGCCATGGTGGCATCTCCCGGGGCGATGTGCACGCAGGGATCCCCCTGCATGGGAGCTGGGTTCCCGGCCAGGGCAGGGCTGGGCTTCAGGGCAACAATATGTCCTGGTGGGGATGGGGCTGGAGAGCACCAAGTGGCGATTCGCTCGTCGGTCACAGTGGGAGCCGGTGCATCAGGACCAGGCAGGGCACAAGCCCAGCCTCCAGCTCCCCACACCCCAGCGTGATGCTGGGCTCAAGCAACACCCCGCGGGGGTGACGCCGCCCAGGCTGAGACCCTCTCCTTTCTTCCCTCCCTCCCTCCCCAGGCTTTCGGGAGAGCGCCTTCGCCTACGCCATCGCGGCGGCCGGGGTGGTGCACGCCGTGTCCAACGCCTGCGCCCTGGGCAAGCTGCAGGCCTGCGGCTGCGACCAGAAGCGCCGGGGCGACGAGGAGGCTTTTCGGAGGAAGCTGCATCGCCTGCAGCTGGAGGCCATGAACCGTGGCAAGGGCATGGTGCACGGGGTGCACATGGAGCACATGCCGGCCGAGACTCCTGGTCTGCAGGACTCCTGGGAATGGGGAGGGTGCAGCCCCGATGTGGACTATGGGGAGAAGTTTTCCAAGGATTTCCTCGATTCCCGGGAAACCTACAGGGACATCCATTCACGCATGAGGCTGCACAACAACCGTGTGGGCCGGCAGGTGAGCAGGGCACTGGGAGGGGGTGCAGGCTGATGGTGACTGGGACAGGGTCCTTGGGACATGCATGGGAGGGCTGGAAGTGGCTCATGCTGGCTGCCATGGAACATGTGGGAGAGGCTGGGATTGTCCCCAAGGCACTCCTTCTCCCCAGTTTTGCTTGGAGGAAGGGCAGTGGTGCAGCCCTGCTCCTCAGCCTCTCTGCTGGGGAGGTCACTTCTGAGCACCTCTGCTGTCCCCCTGCCAAGGGACACTTCCCAAGGCCACTGTCAACTGCCTGTGCTGCATCAGTGCTATGTGGGTGGCACAGCAATGTGTCCAGCTCCTGCCTCTTAGGGACTGGGTGAACTGGTGTCAGACAGAAGCAGCGGGAAGGAGCTGTGGACAGGGAAGAGAAGATCATTAGCACTATGGGGACAGGGCACAGGCTCTACAGCTCTGCCTCATGAGAGGAACATGGTGCCCTGAGAAGGAAGATGTGAGCAGGGCTGACCCAGACAGTGAGTGCCTATGCCACCTGGGAAGTGCAGCATCCTCTTGGGAGCAGAGGTGACAGTCCAAGGGGGTGCTGGAGCCTGTCCAGGCGAGGAGGGCAGCCTCCCCACCAGTTTTATGATGTCAGGTCTCCTTAAAGGTGTTAATTAGTAGCTCGCTCTGTCTAGAAGCTGGTGTTTAAAAGCAGCCTGACATCGGAGACAAGCCTGGTGCACGCCGTGTCCAACGCCTGCGCCCTGGGCAAGCTGCAGGCCTGCGGCTGCGACCAGAAGCGCCGGGGCGACGAGGAGGCTTTTCGGAGGAAGCTGCATCGCCTGCAGCTGGAGGCCATGAACCGTGGCAAGGGCATGGTGCACGGGGTGCACATGGAGCACATGCCGGCCGAGACTCCTGGTCTGCAGGACTCCTGGGAATGGGGAGGGTGCAGCCCCGATGTGGACTATGGGGAGAAGTTTTCCAAGGATTTCCTCGATTCCCGGGAAACCTACAGGGACATCCATTCACGCATGAGGCTGCACAACAACCGTGTGGGCCGGCAGGTGAGCAGGGCACTGGGAGGGGGTGCAGGCTGATGGTGACTGGGACAGGGTCCTTGGGACATGCATGGGAGGGCTGGAAGTGGCTCATGCTGGCTGCCATGGAACATGTGGGAGAGGCTGGGATTGTCCCCAAGGCACTCCTTCTCCCCAGTTTTGCTTGGAGGAAGGGCAGTGGTGCAGCCCTGCTCCTCAGCCTCTCTGCTGGGGAGGTCACTTCTGAGCACCTCTGCTGTCCCCCTGCCAAGGGACACTTCCCAAGGCCACTGTCAACTGCCTGTGCTGCATCAGTGCTATGTGGGTGGCACAGCAATGTGTCCAGCTCCTGCCTCTTAGGGACTGGGTGAACTGGTGTCAGACAGAAGCAGCGGGAAGGAGCTGTGGACAGGGAAGAGAAGATCATTAGCACTATGGGGACAGGGCACAGGCTCTACAGCTCTGCCTCATGAGAGGAACATGGTGCCCTGAGAAGGAAGATGTGAGCAGGGCTGACCCAGACAGTGAGTGCCTATGCCACCTGGGAAGTGCAGCATCCTCTTGGGAGCAGAGGTGACAGTCCAAGGGGGTGCTGGAGCCTGTCCAGGCGAGGAGGGCAGCCTCCCCACCAGTTTTATGATGTCAGGTCTCCTTAAAGGTGTTAATTAGTAGCTCGCTCTGTCTAGAAGCTGGTGTTTAAAAGCAGCCTGACATCGGAGACAAGCCACACACGGGCAGAAGGGGCTGGGACAACAGCTGCCTTTCCCTGCCTGGCTTTGCTCCCAGCAGGTGCCAGGGAGTCTCCACCCCATGGATCCAGCAGGACATTTGTCACCAAGACCCTATTGAAATGCTGGCAGGGCAGTGCAGTGGTGGGGGTGTAGTGGCTGTGGGAATAAGTAATTAAAGATCAGAATTCCACAGGGAGTGTTTCCCTGGGATGGCTCAGACATGCTTAGAGCATGCTTAAAGCCAGCTGTGAGATGGGGACGCTGCAGAGCAGGACCTTGATGTGTGCCCTTCCCTGGTGCTGGAGCTGAGCTCTACTGCCCCAAAAAGCTGTCCCAGATTGGCCAAGCTGTAAATTCCTGGGGAAAGCCAGAGGTTTTTGCTTGTTTGGCTTTGTTTGCTTGTGTGTGGTGAAGGCTCACTCAGCGTTAGGCAGCTAAATCCTCTGCAGGCTGCTCTGCCCCAAGCCAGGAAAGACCTCCCATCCAAATTCTAGCTGCAAGGGCTCATTGTGGCTCACTTCCAGCTTTGCATGCCCCAAACCTCTGGGATTCTTGGCAGTGCTTAGAAATTTGTATTGTCCGTTTCCCAAGGGAAGCCCCACAGCTCCCTGCAGGAGGAGGGGAAGGTGAGAAAGGAATATTTGTATGAAGGAACTGTCACCATGCGATGCCTGTGGGATCTGGCAACAGCAAAAATGTCAGGGTTCTGCTTGTCCCCAGGAGCAGGCAGGCATGGGACTGGCAATGTCAGCATGTCAGCTCTTGGTGGCTTCAGAGACAAGAATTGAACAGATGGAAGAAACATAGGAGCTGGAAGGAGCTGGAGGCAGAGGAAGACCAAAGGGATAAGGCAGAGGATGGTACCAGTGCAGGTGGGGAAGCAATGGCTGGATGGGATGCCCAGCTCAGGAACCCTGTTGAGATGAGGGTGTAAGCCTGTTTGCAGGTTGGGTTTTGATGGTTCTGGGTGCCATGCATTGGAGCAAGAAGATAATGCTGTGCCTGCTCTATGCCTGTGGTGCCATGCTTGTTGCTGGGTCTGGATCTGGCCATCCACATTGCCTGGGGATGGGTTCTTCAGCTCCCTTCCTACTCTTTTAGCAACGCCATGGATCCCACACCCAGCTCAGCCCTCCTCACTCCTACTACCCTCTTTCCACTGTAATAAGGAGCAATCCACTGGGATTTCCCAGGAAAGGAGTGGTCGTGCTGGATGCAGTAGCTCTGTGGTCATCTACTCCAAGTCCTGAAGCTTGAATCCCCTGAGCAAAGTGGTGATGTGGACATGCATGCCATGTGCCATCCCTCTCCATGGAACAAGCAGCTGCAACACGCAGGGCTCTCCAGCACCTCACTGATGCTGGGCAGTGTATCTCAAGGGTACTCTGCTGATGGGCAAGCCTGGGTCCCAGCTCAGGCCGTGCAATGCTGGAGGGGGGTGACAATGGCACCGATGGTCACATCCAGGGACAAAAAAAAATAATTTGTGGGTTTCTGTAGTGTAGTGGTTATCACATTCGCCTGACACGCGGAAGGTCCTTGGTTCGAAACCAAGCAGAAACACTCTGGTTTTTTTCCCCCTCTCTTGCATCCAGCTGTGAGGCAGGGAAGGGGGATACAGAAGCAGGGGATGCACAGCATCCTCTGATAGCAGTAGTGGTCACCTTGGTCTTCAGTTGGGTGTCCTGCATCCCTGGGAGGGAGCAAGTTCCCCATTGAGGAGCAGCAGGAGCATGCAAGAGGCTTTGCAGGTCCTCCTAACCTGCCAGATCAGAAAGCAGGAGAGGATGAAAGGCAGCCAGGAACTACCCATTACCCTCACAACAAAGAGCTATGATAAAGCTCTTATGAGCATGTTTGGGAGGAGCTGGGAATGTGCAAAAGAAAGCACCAGCAAGTCCAGGCATGTGCTGAACCTGGGTGTCGGTGGGATGGAGGAAGGACGTGGCCGGATAGGGGTGTGTGGAGATCTGATGGCAAAAGCACGGGCCAGAGGCTCAAATGGGTTCTTCTCAGGGTCCTGCCCCCCTGTGCTGTGCTTGCAGGAGGGAGAAGAAGCTGTCCCTGTGCAGAGATGGATGGGTGCTGTGGTGCTGGGGCTTGGGATGCTCAGCAGTGATGGCTTGAGTGATGGAGATGGGACACAGCCATTGCCTTCTCTAGCTCCTGCTGTGACCAGCTGCTGCCACAATTGAGCCCTTGTCCAGTTGTGACACTGCTGTCTCCTCCATCCCTGTGGTCACCATCCCAGCCACAGCACTATACGCAGATTTTCCCTGGTACACCCAAGGGAGCAGTGAGGGAATGTGGGAAAGGATTGGGTCCCAGTGCCAGCATGTTCCCGTGGATGATGGCAAGGACGGTGGCAAGCAGCCAGTGTTCCCAGCTGGCACACCCAGGGCATGGCAGAGAGGCCGGCCAGCTCATTACCTGCGAGGAGGAGGCTGTTCCCGGCAGGAGACAGGACTCTCAGCAGGATGAAAGCCAGACTCCAGCCCAGCCCAGCCCTCTCCACCATGTGCCCCAAGCTCCAGGCGTGTTTCCCTGACCTGCCTTCATTACCATAACTGCTTAGCAACAGGGAGATTTACTCAAAAACAAGAAAACAAGGAGTAAAAACTACCCACTCCTACCAAAACAAAGCACTCCTTGCACATGAGTCCCTCTCAGGGAGGAGGCAGGAAGAAGCAGAGTGTGTCAGGCATAATGCTGGGTAGTTGGGCAGGGCTGGTGTCATGGGATGAGACCTTGTGCAGGGCCACATGCCCCCTGGCCTCCTCCTGAGCACTGGAGCATGGCCTGGGATGGGGAGGATCAGTCTTTGCAAGCCCCAGCCTGGCTCCTGAAGGAGCTTGGGCATCCCCACGGGAAGGGGACTTGCAGGGCACGTGACCCATCAGGGAATCCCTGTTGGGACAGAGCAGAGGTTGGTATAAACTCCCTCTTTCCAGGTTTTGCAGGGATGTGCGGCCACTCTGCTCCCCTGCAGGTTGCTTGGTATGAGC